CAGTATCAACCTCCACAGCGATGTCACACCAACTGTTCCATCATCTTCACACCTAGATCCTGAAGTGGACCCAGTCTGAACTCCTATTACAGATGGGGAAACTGAGACTCAATGACAAGATCTTCTCGAAAGCCACACGCCCTACTGGTGGCAGAGTGAACATTTGCAATTGAAACCTGCCCCAATTACCTCTTGCTTTAGCTCCAACTTCTGCATGAGCCAGTCGAGGAAGTGCCCATTTTGGTCAGCTGACTAGTGGGCATTTATTAAGCACCTACTGCATGCAGACACTGGCCACATCAATGAACCAAACAGAAGGAAACCTCTGGCTCCGTAGGAGAGAGAAGGGTGCTAAAAACAGTCAGGGCGATGAGAAAGCCCACAGATGACTTGCTGACCGCCCTTCTGTGGCAAGGTGTTCAGCCTCACTCTGCAGAGGCACTTGGGGCCAAACCCGTGACTCTTACAAGTCCCCGTTTGCCCCCAAGCTGCCCATTAGGATTACCGAGCTCCTGAGTCATTTAATTATGGAGAAATCCATAGATCTAAGTCCATATTCCCCCTATTTCCAAATGTCCTATTTTTGCTCTCTTGGTTTCTCTGTGGCCAGCAATTCATTGATTGTGTCCTAGAGCTGGGTGACACCACACATTTAAATTAGTGGGAAGAGAGTGAAAAACAGAGTGAGTTAAAGCCAGCATGTGAGAGGGGATGGTAGAACACACGTGATAAGGGTCATGTGCTCATCCCTCACTTCTACTTTGCTTGGAGCTGAAAAGAGATCAGAAAACAATCTTGGAGGATAGACCAGAGCAAGTTTTATCATTACATTTAGTTCTGTTTTGACTTTTTTTTTTAATAGACAGTTATTTAAAACCCATGTGTCCTCTAGAGACAGCCAGAAATCTGCATTTACAAAATTTCTTAGAGCTCCACCGTGGGCTTGAGGACAACTGTCCTACACAATTCAGCCACTGCGCGCGCGTGCACACACACACACACACACACACACACACTTTGACTGGGCCACAGAGTGCTGGAAGACACTACTGTGCATACACAAACCCTCCACTTCTGACCGTGTTATGTACTCTACACACATGTGTTCAGGGTCACGAATGTTCCCCCAATACCTGGACTTCCTTCATGGAGAACAAAAGGAGGGCAACCCCCCCTACCAAAAGGCAGGAAGTGAAAAGCAAAGCAAAGCAAAAAACTAACCAGATTGACTCCTCTGCAATTCCAGGGTGCCCTCAAGCTCACCCCAGCCTTCTCCTAGAACCCTGGCTCTCCTCCTTCCTGATGAAGACCTGGATAGTAGCTGGCCAGCACAGGCCAGGTCCCAGCTGGAAGAGTGGGAGCCATCTACATAGACTATCCCTCTGCAGTTAATAAACACTTGCTGATGGCTCTTGTTGTCAGGGTGGTTTTGTCCAGCATGGGAGTCACTCTGCCTCCGGTGCAGGCCTGGGATATGAACAGAGACATATGGATGGGTTCAGACACCTCTGAGCCAACCTGGACAAGTCTTTGTCATGACCACAGAAGGATAGTAGTCACAGTTGGGATCACCTCCCTTTTGGGTGGCTTTTGAGCAGCGGGGACATCCATTTTGTTGATCTTTTTGGTGTAGTGGGTCGTGTGCTCTCTGAGCCCTGTGGTTCTGAAAACAGACAAACAGGAAGCAGCTTCCCCTAGGTGGGCCTCTGTGCCCGTCTTTGTCATATGGGGAGAGTCGTGGTTCTCACCTTGCAGAGCTGAGGTAAGGATTAAATGAAGCACCTGGTAGGCACTCAGCCAGAGACACCATGGCATCACAGGCCCTTGTCACCCAACCTCAGGGAACACTTTATCACCAAGGCCTTTCCTACTTAGACATGCGTGAGGGCCATTGACTCCGTGGCTTCCCTGAAGCCTCCGGGTTCTGGGACAAGACAATAGGCCTCTGTTCTTTAGGCCTGGGTCATGCCCACACCCAACCACAGCCTTCAGTCACAGAAAAACCCTTACAGGAAGACAGGGGTGGTGTCTGGGAAGGGACAGTACTCAGTGTCAGAGCACCATCTCTGTCAGACAGAGGTCTGTAGTGCCACCTGTCCCCCACAAGGTAGGTTCTTCCAAATTTGAGTGGCCAGGCATGAAGACCTCTCCCTAATATGGCCAAGGCTCTCCAAGTCCATCATCCCCTGGGGCCTCCTAGGGTGGCAGATGAAGAAGTCCAGGATCCTTACTCCCTGGGCAAGGAACAACTCTGAGGCCCCAGCTCTCCTATGGCTCCCACCATCCCACAGGAAGGAGCTTGGGTACCCTCAGCAGCTGGTCACATCCCACTCCCTACGTTTGTGTGGGTCATCTCCTAGATACATGCCAGTCAAATCTGGATACCAGTCTACTGCTGGGGACCCCGAACCAAGACCATTTGTTCCATGTGGGTAACACTAGAGGGATCTTAGAGGTGACTAATCACCTACCTTCCCCACAGACTGGCAAGACTCTCCCCTCACTAGGTGGCAAACTGGGGTTCTGGTAAGTCACCATCACCACCAATCAGCAGCCTGTCACTGGCTGCTCTTTCAGGCTCCTTCCCCATCCACCCTCTTCTGTCTCTACCTTCCAAGGGAAAGAAGAGTAAGTGCTCCTGAGCTGGCCTTCAATGACAGGACCCTGAAACACCATCCCTGACTACAGACAGGAGGCCCTAGAGGTCCCAAATGCCACAGACAAGGCTCTGAGCCTCTGTACCCTTCCTTGAGAGAGGAAAAACTCCTTCTCTTTAATCTGAGTCTCAGAAACAGCAAAGAGAAAATTCCAGGTAAGGTCTTACATATTACCCTTTAGTAATACCCATCTATGATCCCAGCTCCTTGGAAGGCTGTGGCAGGAGGATTACTAGTTGGAGACTAGCCTGGGCTACATCATAAGACCGTGTTTCAAAAAGACTCAGATCTTGGGCCTAGAGAGATGTATCAGTGGTGAAGAGCACTTGGCTGCTCTTCTAGAGGCTCTAGGTTCAATTCCCAGAGCTTACATCAAGGCTCACACCATCATTAACTCCATTGGCAGGAAATCCAATGCCTTCTCTCTGGCCTCTGTATGCACCACGCACACATATGGGTATACAAGACATAAAGACGTGCAAAACACCCATACACATTAAATAAAATAAAAAAGACCCCCACTCTTTGGGCTGGAGAGGTGGATCAGAGATTAAGAATGTTTACAGAAGACCCAGCACCTTTATCAGGAAGCTCACAACCAGCTACAGTTCCAGGGAATCTGGTGTCCTCTGGCTGCCGAAGCATCTGCATCCATGTGGTTCACAGAAACTCATTCAGGCACACACACCTACACATAAATTAAAAAAAAATAAATAAATCTTATAAAAAGAGCCTAGTCTTCTCCAACATATTCCACCAAATCGTGTGACCATTCACTGCCAGTGTGGGCTGTTTGCTAAAGGAAGAGCTTCAGAGCAAGCCAAGGTTAGCCCTGCACTTTCTGGGTATCTGCTGTCTCCTGGAACTCCATCTTCCACCAGGTTCTCATCCCTGAATCTCCAGGTGAGAGCTGGAACTCATGGAGGAAAGGGTGGGGAAGGAAGGGGAGACATGATGTAATGATATTACAATCTCAAAGAACTAAATAAAAAAAGAAAGAAAGAAAAGAAAAGAAAACAGGAGCGAACACCCACCCTGCTTGTGCCCTGAACTGTAAAGGAGATCCCAAGCCAACTGGAGACAGTCCTTCTGCTGTGGGGTGGCCCCATCATCACATGATGAAATAAAGCAGAGGTTCTTAGCACTCAGTCGTGCTAGGTTCGGATCCAAGCTCTGCCACTTTACTGTATCACCATGAGCAAGTTGGGCCCAGAGCAGGACTGTTAAGAAAGGAGCTGTGCTCACCTAGCTAGATGCATACAGAAGCAAGGGGGACCGGATCCCCACAAGGCAGGGCCTCTGCACAGCTAGGTGGCAGAGAGTTCAGGCCTGGAACTGCTGTGTAGAACCAACAAATCTTGCTGCCCTTTCTGGGCCCTGACATCAAATCCCAGCTTTCCCTGGGCAAGCTACCTGACCTTGATGGAGGCACTTATCCCTCTGCATCTCAGCCCCCTTACGTATAGAATATAAATATAAACCCTAACAGTCTGTTAACCCTTCCTGTGCACGGGGCCCTGTGCCCACATCTGTATGAATTGCCACAGTGACCTTCACCATCCCCCCAAAGCCATAGGCATGTGTATCATATCCTGAATGAGGCTCAGAAGGGAATGAACATGGCTTATTCTCCATTTCTCAGCTCCTACACAGTCAAAGCAACCATTCAAGGGCCTGTCTGCAATTTTGGTGAACACATCTGGGCAGAAATGGTGACAGCCCAGGTGACATACACGGGCAAGGCATGAGAATACAGTGACAAGGTGGCCACAGACACTGCTACCCTCATCTTTGCCCCTTAACCACTACACACACACACACACACACACACACACACACACACACACACACACACACACATCATATACCACTTGTAATGCATACACAAAAGTATGTATACACCAAACACATATACCTCACACACATCAGTAACCACTATACACACACACACACACACACACACACACACACACACACACATCCTCTCCCGCCTTGGGCTCCATGCTAGTCACATCTTGCATTAGCAGCCTCTGCACCCCTCACAAGAGCTGAAGATGTGCCAAGAGCAAGGGTCCCGGCCCAGCCCACTTCCTCCTTGGGGTCTGCTGGCCACGTTCTGAGCTTGCCCCTCCCGCCCCCACCCCCACCTAAGTACCAGGCTTTATCAGTTTTGGCCAAAAGCCCCTGGCTGCATGGGGCCAAGAGGAGTGATTCTTCCCCTGAAGAACTCCTGAGTGTGCCAAGCCCTGGCCAGGGGCCTTGGCTTTCCATCACGTGCCCACCCCTCACTCCAGAGCTTGGCGTATAAAACTATCCCTTTAAGAAAGCTGGTGACACCGGCCTGAGAGACTCTAGAAGGTCCATTCAGAGAGTGGTAAGGACAGAACTGACAGCACCCTCATACTCAGGCTGTGCCCCATCATCACATGGTGAAATAAAGCAGAGGTTCTTAGCACTCAGTCGTGCTAGGTTCGGATCCAAGCTCTGCCACTTTACTGTATCACCATGAGCAAGTTGGGCCCAGAGCAGGACTGTTAAGACTTAAAAAGATGGATATAGGGGGTATGGCGTGGGGGACACAGGGCTGCGGGTCCCTGGAGAGGACAGGAGCTCTCGTTTCCATGGCCACAGGTCCTAACGGGAGAATGCTGCTGATGTGGACACCGCTGTTGTGCTGGGGGCTGCTGCACCAAGCCCAAGGGACAACCCATAGTCCTCTGCTCCTGCGGATCAGCGAGAGATGGGTGGAAACAAGTGAGTCTCAAGGAGTGAGCTTGGAGAGGCGTGAGCTCCGAGAAGGCAGAGCGGGAGACAGCTCTGGGCTTGTCCTCCTCTGGCCTCCCAGCCCTCCCTGCTGTCCTTGTCCCTCCCCGGTTCTAACATCTGCATGGCCCACCTGTCGTGGGTAGTCCTCACCCTGACATTCAAAGCCCCCCATACCTCCAGTGTCTTCCCCACCACCTTCCCTGACCACCACATAGAGGTCATGGCTGCCTCCTTGGCTGGTGTGGGCCCTTCCCTCTTGCTCCCCTCCTCAGTGTAGTGTACTCCAGCTGGGCCTGGAAGACAAAGTCCTTAGCTCCTCTCCTGCAGAAACCTCTTCTCATCTCCCTGTAGCAGGTAGGTCTGTCCTTCTGGCTCCCACAGCCCTCTGGTGAAACCTCAATGGCCTTGTCCAGATACAGCACCTGCCAACCTGTCTGTTGGCCTGTCTGCCTGTCTACTGTTCTCCCTGCCTCTTGTCTATGAGGTGCTTCTCATCCCAGCTCCAGGATCCGGTTTGCAAATTCACCACGCTCATAACCTTGAGGCCTTTGTATGAGCTGTTATTCTCCCTGGAACCTTCCATAATGAGATCTTTCACTTCCGTGAGATGTCTGTCCCAAGCCTCGTCCTCCTCCTCCTCGGAGCAGCCCTCCCTGACCATCATGTCCGAAGCAGATGTTCCTCACTCACCATGCTTTGACTCAGCCCTGTTTCACTTTCTTTGTAACAAAACATACTTTACTTGCTGACCTGAGAATAAGTTTGTCTTTCTCCCTGGCTAACATGTCAACTCCAGGGCAGTGGGAACCACGCTGCTCCCGGAGCCCAGACTTGCCGACTGGGCTTGGTGGCAAGCTGAGACTGAGCCAGGAGAATGGCTTGAGCCTAGGCATTGAGACCAGCCTGGGTAATACAGTGAGACCTGAGCTCTGGTGTCCTCATATGAACTTGTTGATGAATGGCTATCTCATTTGCCAGTTGGGCACAGGTGCCAGTGAGTGTTTGCTGAATGGCTGAATGAACCCTGAGGAGATGCTCTGTTCCCAGATATTTCAGATCTATTCATGGAACATGAGGTCCTGAAAGGTATGATCAGGATGCCTGTGACTGGATCCCCAAGTGAGGGTGTGTCTGTCCTGGACCGTCTGCCCTTCGTCAAAAAGGAGTTTGTTGGGAAGAAGAGTGGGCTGGACCTGTCACTTGTGGGGGACCTGCTCTCTGGGAAGACGATGCCTGAGCTGAAGACGCTACTAGAGACAGCTGGGTGAGTGGCCAGCGAGGCAGCCTCTGCCTCTCTTCTCCTTCAGGAGGCTTTTCCCTGTCAAGTGGAACAGAGGTGGGCTGGCAACCTGGGGCCCACAGCGTCTCCCCAACCTCAAATGCACAAAGCAGGTTTCCGCCTACTGTGTGGCTACCTTTCCAGGCCTCTCCAAACACCCCTAGGAAGGAAGCAGGGTCTACACTAAAGTGGGTTGGCGGTGCAGTGTCCTCTGTGGTTCCCCACTCCAACACTTTACAAATCTGAATAGTGTTTCCAAAGTAGTTTCAGTTAGTCGCCTACATTTGAATAACAAGAATTTTCCTCAAAGTCCAGGTTTCCCAACTGTATGCATTTGCCAGGACAGCCACACTAAAGTGTTCAGAGCCAAGTGGTCTCCCTGTGGAAGATGGCGGCCAGGGCAGGGGTCTGCCCCTGCTTCCTGGAGCTTGGCTCAGCCACTGCTCCTGGCATCCACTAGCAATCACTGGTGCTGGTACCAGATGCCTGATACAGCCATCTCACAGGACATCCTCCTGGGTCCAAATTCCCTTTCTGTAAGAACACAGCTATGTTGGGTTATAGTGTAGGCTACTCTAGTATGACTTCACCCATAATTCTGATTGTCCTTAAAATGAAAATCTGGCCACACCTGTCCTGACCTTCCACATGTCAAACGTTGGTGTCAGGTCTATAGTCCCTTAGCCGGTCCCCAGATGCCCCACCATGCTGTCTGCTCAGCCCTGGAAGCCATGGGTTAGAGCCTCCTAGCAGAACAAGAATCCGCCTTAATGAATGGCACTGAGTTTGACAGGGGGCATGTCTCCCTCAAGGTGACATGCACTGATAGACCCCAGACTCAGGGCACTATCCTCTCAGGTGGGCGCCCCAGAAACCCGGACTCCAGACCAGTGGATGCAATCACAAGAGGCTTTATTTAATCATTTGCGCAAACGGGCCCCTCTACTATTCAGTGAGAGGAGCCCCGAACAATAATTGCAGGCATCTTTTAAAGGCAAAAAACAAAAAATTAACATAGCATTCGGGGCAATACATAATTGGCTAGTTTAGAAATCAGCACTGGGGAGGGGGAATACAGCAATGGGGACTTTCCATGGGGGCTGCTTTTCTTCCTAGAATAGCCACAGGATGTTCTGCTAGACCCAGACAATGTCACAAGGTTATTCTGCTGATGCCACAAGAAATATGACAAGAATATTTCTGCTGAAGCGAATGGTTTGGGGACCTGGTTTGGGGGTCTGAGGCTGGTACTCGTTCCTCTTTCTCATGTTTAATTCTTTCAGCACAGCCACAGGCTCAGCCCTGAATGCATGAGTCCCTCCCCAGCATGAGCAAGGAAAGACCCATGGGTCCTAAGACCCCAGGCTCCAAAAGGGATTTTCTGGTGGGTGTGAAATGGAGTAAGAATTCACAGAATTATAGTGTGAGGAGCACTGCCCAGGGAGAGTTGGGAGGCACCATAGTCAAATACCACACCAGCCATGCCAAGTATGGGTACTGTCTCCTGATTCCCCCACCCCACCTGGGTAGCCATGCCATGGCTATAAGACTATCCTATCCCAGGACATGGCTTGGGGGGGACAAAGGAAAGCACAACGTGGTCTAACCCTAAAAATATTCTCCAGGCTGGGGAAGAGCATCAGAAGTTCCATCCTTGGCTACACAGGAGGTGTGAGACTAGCCCAGGCTGTATGAGACTCTATTTTGAAACAAACAGGGGAAAAAATCCCCTCCAGAAGGCTCCATGCTGGTGGCCAGTTTTCCCCTGTGATAGAACATGTTGCTGCCTGATTCAGTGGCTCCAGGGGAATCACCAGCTGACACTGGTGTCCACAGTGCAACCTTGACCCCTCTGAGCCCAGGGACAGGAGGCACCTGAGCCCTCAGGAGGGAGCACAGTGCTTGAGGATGCTCAGCAGAGCCCATAGCTCCTTCGTGGATGGCAGACGGGCTGCCAGGACTCTTGCATCTCCACACCCTTGCCTGCTGACTGTTCTTTTGAGATGCTCATAGAGTCTTATTCCCTAGACCTGGGCATCAACCCCGGGATCCCAAGGCAAGGCTTCTCCCACTGAGCCACAGCCTCGGCCTCAGAGGCTTGTACTTGGATTCCGATGACTGTGTGTGCACAGACTTAAGCCATAGTTCCTGGTTTTTCAGAGGCTGACCCAGAGAAGGGCAAGATCCTCGAGGCTTAGAAACTAGAAGCTGAGTTCTGTGGTCTCTCGCAGGCCAGCGGGCAAGGACAGACTATCCCAAAGCTGTCTCCACTTCTCCTGGCGTCAGCTCCCATTCTAGCTACTCCAGACATATGCACGCGCACGCGCACACACAGAGCCAGCCACATCACCTACATGCCTCCCATAGGTTGGTCATAGAAGATGTCAAGGGACCGGAAGTCACCCTGGAAATTCTAAGTGACAGCCTGCTGCAGATCACACTGCGCTGCAAACTGTACCTCTCACTCCTAGAGTAAGTGCCCGGGGTACTTCCTCCCCACATGCTGCCAGGAAGCAAGACTAACAAAGACCATGGGCCACTACAAGGATCCACTTGGGCATGTTTCAAAGACTGACTTGTGAGGAAGCAGGTACAGAATGGGGAAGAGCCCTGCCCAGGATCATACAGCGAGTCTTCAGTGAGAGCCCTCTCCCATGCTGTCTGTGCATGTGGGCACACTGACCCTAATGGGACAGTCTGGGAAGGGTCTGGGATTCCCGGGCTGGGCAGCTGAAGCAAGAGTATCCATTCCCTGGACATGAGTCTATAACCAGGTAGGTATAATTCCAGTTCCCTGCTACAGTAAGCAAAGTGTCCACCTGCAACAGCAGCGAGACAGACCCAAGTTGGCTTGTGAAGTAGGGACGCTACTTTGGGAATATGCCAGCTCCTGCCTTTCTTGTGGATATGACTTTTTGGTGTGGCTTTACCACTCAAAGAGGGAGCATTCTATGACCATTCCCCCTAGAATGATTCTGCTCAGTGGGGAGCTACGCAGGACCCTTAGTTAGCGCTTGGATGGCAGATATAAGCCCAAGGAAACACTAGGACAGAGTAGGGGGCCCTGAGAAATGTGTCTCTGCTCCCTGAGGAACATATTATCGCCTTGGTTAGGATAGTGTGGTAATAGTAAGATTCATGACCCGTGGACCTCGGCAATTGGGAGACTATGTGTCCCATCTCAAGGTCATACTCAGGGCAGGTGTCTGATGCCCTGTGAGGACGGTGGCTCGGTGCTGCCCAGTCTGCCAGCAGATTCCATATTTTAAATAGCTGGTTTCTAATGCAAGCCTGCTGGCAGCAGCAACAGCCAGCTCGTGACTTCTGGTCTCAACCTTGGAGTCTGGCTGGGAGCCTGCCCAGACATACTGTCCCTACAGGATCCTACGGCTAGAAGCCATGAAGAACATACGCATTGGAGTACGGCTAGAACAGATAGGGAACAAGACCCAGGTGGCCTTCGAGGAGTGCCACGTGCCCCCTGGGAGCCTGAACATTGAGATCCTGAAGCAGTGAGTACCTGGTGCTTCTGGGGCTCCCCTGGCTGTGATGGGCAGTGGTTCCTCCTGCATTGACCCAGCCCTTTCTGCACTGAAACCCAGAGCTGGGGCTGCCTCTCCTTTAAAGACACAGACTGTCCACGCCCACCTGTCTGTCAGCCTCTCCTGCCTCCACAGTGAAGGTCATGGTTGAGACTCAACCTCTGCTTAGCTAATCCTAATAGTGGGTCCCAGCCAGGTCCTGACTTCTGGGAGCCTTGGTTGCATTGCTTACGGTACCCAGCCCGCATGGAGTGGTCCTGGGGAGGAGATGGACTAACCCACTTACATAGCCCAGAAACTGACACCCAAGGGGATCGATCATTCATCTGTTGACACAACCCAAAGCCTCCAGGAAGCAGGACACGATCTCTCCATTGCCAGTGGGGCCACTTCCTGCTGGAAAAAATCCCAAAGACCTTTATGAAGGAGAGAACACGAATCAGGACATAATGCAGAAAACTGGAGAGAAAACATGTGGAGGGGGGAGGCAGGAAGGAGAACATGGAGAGGAGATGGGAATGCCAGGGAAGGAAAGGGTCGATGCTGAGGGCCTTCCTGCTGTCCTGCCTCAATGGTGCTCAGCTCCCCCTTCCCTGCCCACACCTTTGGCACACTGCATGGCTGACTCCACCTTGTCATCCCTCCCCTAGAACAGAGACCCTGTTGCCAAACCAGCTGCTGAATCTGGTGACTGAGATCCTGGAGGAATCACTGCCGTTCCTCCTCCAGAAGATTGTGAGTCACCAAGGGGAGGGGCGTTCCCCCAGAGAGCCTCTCTACCTCGGCCTCGCACCAGCAGGACCCCCCACTTCCCTTCTCTCTAGGTGTGCCCTGTGGCCACAAACCTGCTCAACTTCCTGCTGGAAGACCTGCTACACATCGCTCTCCGTATGTTGCTGCTGGTCAACTGTCCCTTGCCATGTGCCAGGCACCGTCTATAGGAATATACCCAGAGACAGGACAGTCCTACCTACAGGGGGGACACTTTCTAACGGGGGAAAAAGGGGGGACAACATGGCTTGTAACCTTCATATGTCACGTCCCCTCTGAGCCGCGGTTTCCCTATCTGTCAAACAGGATCAATGAAAGGCCCACAGATAATGCCTGTTAGAAGGGATTTCTCCCTGCCTCCCGCAGCATCCTTCCCACCTCTGCCTCCGGCTGAGTTAGGTTTCCCTTCTGCACCACAGCGCCAATCATCTCGGGTCCCAATGATTTCCAGTACTATGTGACCACCACCGAGTTCACACAGGGAGCCATCCTGATGACAGTGCAGGTGGGCAACCCTGGGCTACCATGGGCCCCCGGGGAACCTGCCGGGGGTGGGCAGGCAAGGAGGAAAGGAGGCGGGGCTTCACAGGGTGGGGAGCAAGGGAGGAAGAGGAAGACAGGAGAGCGAGGGGTGAGAAAGGGGAATGGGGAGGCCAGGGGCCGCTGCCGACCAGCGAGTGAGTCAGAGCCAGCAGGAAAGCAGCTGAGTCAGCTCCCAGATGGGGAAACTGAGGGCAGAGAATGGCTGAGGGCTGGCCAGCTTCTGTCCACTGCTCCTTGATGTCTCTCTGCAATGGAAGGCAGGAGGGAGAAGAGGGCGCAGGAGGGCCAGGGTTCAGAGAATGGAATGGAGCTCGATGGGAGCAAGGAAACCAGGCTCAGGGGCTCAGCTCTACCTCTTCCGGTGCGGGATTTGAGTGAGGGACATCCCCTCTCTGTGGTCAAAGAGTGAGCATAATGACTCCCTCCTGGTGATGCTATTGGGAGACTCAAATGAAACTGTGCCTGCTGTGGTCGGAAAGGTGAGCTGTGACCAGGTGCCACCCGGAGAGCTGTCCCCAGTGACCATCTTTCTTCCATCCTTTCTCTGAAGCTTGTGACTCCCTGTGGCCCACACCAGCGGGCTTCAAGGCCGGAGCATGTGGTTCCCCCACCTCTCCCAGGATTAGCCCAGGACAGCACGGCAGATTTTGCCTTTTGGCTAGAAATCTACAATGACATCCTGTCCTGTCTGTACACGAGCCAGGAGATCTTCGTGGAGCCCCAAGACTCCTCGGTGAGTGCTGTGAGGTGGGCAGGAAGTGGGGGGCACAGAATGCTCCTGCCCTGTTTATTGCATGAAAAAGCCAAGGCCCCGGTAGCAAATGTCACTTCCCCACTCTGGACTTGACTAGTCTAACCTGACTAGCTCCTATTTATCCTTCAGAACCCTTCACAGAAGCCCCTTTATCTGAGAAGAGGAACACTCACGTGCCTATTGTTCTCTTCCTAACACATAGCCATTCTCACACAACAGGTATTTATGAAAGCCTCCTGTGGGCTGGCCCTCTGAACACAGGGTCTCTATCACGTAGAGATCAGAGTCTTATAGGGGAGTAGAAAACTGAAATGTGATAAGTGAAAGGTTTGGGTGTCGGTGTTCAAGGAGACACTGAGATGGATTACTGGGGAGTAAAGAGTTATTAGCACCACGGACAGACAGACAGACAGACAATGGGAACAATGTCTCTGAAGACAGTCTAAGAGCCTTCCTGGTAGAGGTAGGATCTGAGGGCAGGGAGGTTTCACAGCACAAGCCTGCAGCCAGACCTGCTGGTCTCCAGGCGGGAGGCAGGGTAGGGGTGCGGAGCAAGGTGTGAAGCTGTGAGGACTTCGGTGTTCTCACTTCCCAGGGGCGAGTCTGATAGCTAAGGACTCACAGGCAGTGTCTCTGAAGGTGCCTGTCGGGATCTGTGAGAGGAAGCCACTGTAAATATAGTGTGTGGCCTGGCAGAGGTCGGGTTCTAACAGTGCATTCGTATAATAAATAACTAGCTGTCTTTGCTTAGAACAATCAGGGCAGCCAGAAGGCCACCTGCATATTGTCACCAGGGAAGGCGTACCTGAGGCTGGCCCCTGCAGTGGTGAGGAGGCACACACAGGTGGAGGAGAATAAGCGCTTCCTGGGGCTGATGGGAAGAATGGGCAAGGCCGCCTACATCACTGCTCAAAAGCCCGCAGCAGCTTCTCCCTACCCCAGAGGAAAAGCCAGGCTCCTCTGGGTGGGTCTGGGCGGTCTGATCCCTGGCCTCTCTCCAGCTCTGTCTCTTTACTCCCTGAATTCCAGCCATGCAGGCTCCACCGATCCCCAGCTCAGGGCTTTGCACATACTGGGCTCTGCCTAGAACATTCTTCTCTCACTGGTAGTCTCAGTATGAATGTCACCTCCTCACACTGCCCCTTCAAGGCTACGGCATCTAAAGATCTAAGAAAGTGCGCTCTCTCTCTCTCTCTCTCTCTCTCTCTCTCTCTCTCTCTCTCTCTCTCTCTCTCTCTCCCCCTTTTGTTCCTTTCTCTTCCTCTTTCAAAACACTGATCTCATTCTAACTTTATATCTAATCACATATGTATATGAAATTATACATGCAAAGTGCACATGCATGTGTGTTGAGCATCTGTAACTCAGATTTGAAATCCAAAATCTGAAAATTTTTTCAAGTGCCCACGTGACACCACAAGTGGGACACGCCACATCCAGAAGCGTTACATCACACAAAGAAAGTTGTTTTAAATAGTTAACGCAAATAAGTGCCCAGACTGCAGAAGTGGCTGGTTCAAGGTCATCCACAAGTGGGATTGACTAGAGATGAGGTCTCCTGTCTCCCACTGCTCTCCCCTGTATCCCACACAGCTGTGACAACAGTTCTGAGACAGCCAGAAGTGAATGCTACATCTGAAGAAAGTCTCACACTGGTGGGCAGGAACCCAGCTGCAGGGTGTCCTTTAGGCCACATTTGCCACAGAGTAAAAACCAAAGTTGGTCCAGAACTAGTAAACTTGCTGAGACTGCAGGCCGTGCACACGAAGATGCGGTGCTTTGTAAGAACAAGATGCTTCTACAGGTCCAGCACTGAGTGGCACTAACGAGACACAGGGCCATGTGGGCCTGAATGCTCCTCTCTGCTCACGCCTGTGTGTGAGCAGAAAAAGTCCATCTGGAGATACTTCAAAATGTCAACAGTAGTTACCTCTGAGAATTGGGTTCAGAGAGAAAAGGAAAGATACACTGGGTGAATTTTACTTCAGACATTTCTATAGTTTTCTCTATGATGATTTGTGATTTTGGAAAACCAATGGAGCAGGCATCCAAGGTAGCTCAGGGGTCAAAAATGAGCTTGACATATGTGAGGCCCTGAGTTCAATTCCAACACCTCCATGAAAATCAGTAGAGCATAGATGGGTGGGTGGGAGTATGATAAAGCAGCGGCAGAAATTGTTAATAGAAGGCTGTATCGAGCATGCAAATGTCGTCTATGAAACTCAGCTTCGCTGTGTTTGTAGCATTTCTCATAGTTAAGAGGCTGTGGATGTAGCTCAGTGAGCAGAGTGTTTGCCTAGCACACACAAAGCCCTGGCTTCAATCTCAGGCACTGTTCACCCCTGTAATCCCAGCACTTGTGGGGATGATCAGGAGCTCAGCTACATAGTGAGTTTGAGGCAAGACTGATACATGACACACGAGACCCTGGCTTAAAAAAATTATAATAAAATGTTAGAATAAAAATCATCAAAACCACAGAAAGTTAATCTTTCCAAATAACGGCTCTGAGAAGCCAGACATGTAACTCATCTTGAGCTGAGACTGACTCGTGTGCAGACGATGTGTCCAGACAATATGTCCAGTAGAGGCAGCTATCTCCCTGAGCCCACAGTTTGCTCAGACACACCCTCAGGACGCCACAGCTGACTCGGTCTTTACCTTTCTAGGAAACTGGCCTCTGGGAGCTGTTGTCCCTGAGTGCTCCGACGCCC